GCGGGAGCGGGCGCGGGGCTGCGCACGGACCCGCCAGGACACCCCTATGGCAGCGCGAGCTGCTGGGCATTGCCCGGCCTCGGCGACCTTTCCCGGCCCCACTTCATCCCCGGCCCTGCGGGGGAAGCAGGCGGCAGCTTCAGCTGCTCCGCGCGCCAAGGACGCGTGTTTGCGGGGACAGGGGACGGGCAAAGAGGGCTCCCGGGCGCGCTAGGCCCTTCTGGACATCGGCATGTTACTCTGAGCAAGGGGCAACTCGCCGGCCAAAGCAGAACCACCTGTCCACACGTGCTTAAAATTAAGCACGGTTTCAGGCAGCAGACGATGAGTGATTTGAAACAAGGGAAATAGGCAAGTTAAAATACCAGAAACGGTCAAGGGGACAAACTCGTGGCRCTGACAGCAAGAAGAGCTGCTCCCGAGGCTGATTCCCCTGTGATTGATTGCACTTTCAAGGCACTTTTTGTCCAGTGTGTACATACGTGTCTCCTCACCAGCCAGTATCGTTTGAAGATAAGCCCTGTTGTGCCCAGTTCAGAGATGTATAAACCCGATTGACAGAGCTTGGATGGTGGAAAAACATCTGCTACACAAGCAGGATCACTCTGTCCAGCAGCGCAAGGACAGGTGATTTGCATGCCATGTATCCGAGCACTCTTTATGCCAGAAAAATAAAAATAAATAAATAGGAAAGGGAAAGCGTGGCGCCTGTGACGCCGCGTGCGCCGTGTTTACCTCCGTGCGCAGGGGGCAAAGTCCCTGCCGCGCTGCCTGGGCAGCTCGCAGCCGCTCTTGGTGCCAGCGGGGCCTCGTCCCACTTTCCTCCCGCGCCTTTTCCGCACCGCCCGCGGCGTCTCGCCGGGGAGGCCGGCACCTCCGGCCACGCTGTGCGGCACTGGGAGGCTTTYAGGAACGTCTCCTAAATCGTGAGCGGTGCAGCGGGGACCCCAGAGGAGCWGCGCCCGGCATGGCTGCCAAGCGAGACCGCCCTGCGGTGGCAGTGCCAAAAGGAGCCCTCCCTCCATGTCCCCCATGGAGGGGAGCCCTACTCACTATCAAGGGGAGCCTTCCCACCATGTACCCCATTAAGGGGAGCCCTACCCGCCATCGAGGGGAGCTCTCCCATCATGTCCTCCAATACAAGGGAAGCTCTCCCGCCATGTCCCCCAGCGAGGGGAGCCCTCCTACCACATTCCCCACA